TGAGCAAGGAACAGCTTCTAGCCAGAAACCCCTGCTCTGAGAGCTCATCTTTCTTCATCTTTCCCATTGATGGCTTTCGGCTTGACCCTTCTGTCTCCCATGGGGGCAGAATTCTATGAGCCCAATTCACGGATCTTTCCTTCCGTTTACATTGCTAATAATGGATGTTAATCTTGAATCTTTCAGCATCTCTTCCATTGAATTGGAATGGATTTCTCATAGTTTATTTTAGAATAAATATATTGTTTAATATACTAAAGCAAACCAGAAAAAAATTTAAAAAATAAAAGAAAATTCTAAATGTTTTACAAAAGCATAATTTCATGATTTCACTAATAGTGTGTCCTATCCTATGTTTCACCTATTTGCTTTGCAAAGATTTTTTTGCCTTGCTATATAAACTTTATTTAGTTTGTTGATACTTACAAAACAGCTTATCGGAATTTAAATTGGGACTGTGTTGATTACATCTTAAGTTAGAAAGAATTGACAGTTTAATAATGTTGAATCTTTTGATCCATGAACATAGTATATCTTTTCATTTATTTAAAACTTTGATTGCTTTCATGGGTACTTTCCTCAGAATCTGGTTTTCTAGTCATAGATTCTCTACATGTTTTGTTAGATTCAGGCCTAAACACTCTATCTTTGAGTGTTATTATGAATGGCATTGATTTTTAATTTGAAATTTCAGTTTTTCATTGCTAGTATGTAAAAAATTATTTCTTTTATATAGTATGTAAAATATATATATATTATAATCTTCTATCTTATAACTTTGCTTATACTTGCTTATTACTTACAGGGAGATTTTTGATATATTCTTCAGATTTTCTACATAATATTATAGGAGAATAAAGAGAGTTTAATTTCTTTATTTCTAATATGTATAATTTTATTGCTTTTGTGTAACCTCATTGTTTTAGTTAGAGTTGCAGTACAATGCGAATAACAGTGGAGAGAGGGGATAATCTCATCTTGTTCTCACTCTTAAGGGAAAAGGGATGTAGGACAATATTATTTTTACCAAGTTGAGGATGTTGCCCTTTATTCCCCCCATTCRCTAGGACACTATTTTGGGGTTTCTGAACATTATTGGGTATTGAATTATATCATACACCTTTTTATGCATTGATTGCTATTCTCATCTGATTCTTCTKCTTTAGCTCTTGGATGTGGTAAATCACATTGAATGGTTTCTGTTGAACTAGCCTTGAATATCTAGAACAACTCCCAAGAGGACACAGTGTATAATTCTTTGTATACTTGGTAGGAATAAATCTGGCACATTTCATTGAACATTTTATGTCAATATTCATAAGAGGACTGGTTTGCAGTGTTCCTTTCTTGAATTGCCATTATTTAGTTTGGGTGTTAGAATAATACTGGCCTGCAAAGAATGAATCAGAAAGTGTTCCCTCTGCTTCCATTTCCTGGAAGAGGCTGTAAAGATTTGGTTCCATTTCATTTTTTAAATGATGGTAGACTTAACCAATAAGAATATACCTCAGTGCTTTCTTTTCAGAAGCTTGTTTATTCGTGATTTAACTTATTCAATAGGTCTGTGGATATTCTGATTATCCTTTTGAGAAATCTGGCTGGTCTAACCTTTTTGAATCGATTTTGACATAGAGTTGTTTGTAGTATTCCTTCATTGTGTTTTTAATATCCATGCGCAATGATATTAAATTTTGTCACCTGAGCCAGCTTACAAGGTCAACAAATGAGGAGGTGGCAATGTGACAAGCTGCCTGTGTTGCTGCGGGGACAGTGAGAGGTGAACACAGCAGATAATGATATTGAAGGATCCAAAAACTACCATAAAAATCTATGCAAATTTCTACAGTAATATGAGAACCTGAGGATTAGGAAAATAATTGTCACTTATGGGGTCCACAGGGATTGATATAGCCTCAGGATAGTACAAGTCAACTGACCAACCTTGAATTTTATTTGGAGTTTCCTCTTAACCATTCATAGAAATTAAACCAGGACAATTCACTACTGGGACAGGGATGGATCCATCTCTCTTATCAACATAGACTCTGCTTCTTTGAGTCTCCATGAGAAGCCAAGAGTGTGAGAAGAAGGKAATATTCTTTTGTTGCCATTATATGACAAGAAATTTGAATTTTGGCCTTAATATTTGAGTGCTTCATTTGACTACCTCAAATTTCTCCATTTTCTCATAACATCATGTTATGTACAGCTTTCTGTGTTGGTACTATTTCTTCAAGATATATTTGTACAAGAATAATTCTGACTTAGAAGGATGCACACTTCAAATGCTCTTGAACCTTATGTCAGGCAAGTCTCTAGGTCATGAAAACAATTCTAATTAGAAATCAAATATCTTATTTTCTTGTCTAACGACTTATAGACTAACTGACCAACCATATTTCTCCAACTGGACATATGGCATTGGGAAAGATAAAGACAGTAATGTCCTAGCATGGACAGTAAAAATAGAGTTTATGGTGAAGGTAGACCAGATTCCTCCACTTGCTTGTGAAAAACATCAATGAAAATGATGTGGGATGGGACCTTGGACATCAAGATAGCAAAACTCTATTTGATGAATATCAATAAAGGAGGGGAGTGAGGTATGTGGGGAATGGTTATCTTTTAAATGATAAGAAATTTATCATATGAAAAARTTAAGAACATATGGCCTGAAAGAAAGGCAACCTTGAACAACACATTATAGTATAAATCTGCTTTATTTAGCAATTAGAAACAAACAGGAAGAAAGCAAAGAGAAGATAAACCAATACAGAGATACAGATTCTGTACATCATAGGATTCTTCACTTGTGTTTCCACAGTTATTGCAAGAGAGGTTCACAACCCGGTAAGATGGGGTGTTCTTGGGTCAATGGAAATTGAAGGGAATCTGCCTGTTTGTGAATTCTTGACTGTGCTTCAGGCAAGACTTTCTGGAAWGAGAGGACAGAGACAAGGTTCTCGTAATGCTCAGCCTCAGGGAGAGCTATAAAGGCAAAACCTTGATAACTAGGTAACAAAGTGAGACACCAGATGTGACTGAACCATGATGTGAGATCAGAGGATGACATTCTGAGGGGAGCCACTGGATCTCTGAGGAGCAGGTAGACAGAGGGGGCAGGAGGGCAGGGGCCTTCCGAAGCCCCAGCTAGAGAGCAGAGGTGGAGGCAGGGGAGGAAAAGATCCTGAGCAGAGGGCTCTGCACCAGAGGGCTGAGCAGGGTGGGGACAAGGGCCAGCACAGGACTTCAGTGCTTGTAGCTCCTGCTGGAGGTGGTGGAGGAGTATTTGATGGTGGAGCTGCTGCCACCAGAGGAGCTGAGGCCACCCCCGATGCCTCTGCCACTGCCAGAACTGAAGCCACCTCCAAGGCCGTGACCACTGCTG